ATATACAAATGATAGGCTGAGAAAGAAATCAGGGAAACAATACCTTTCACAATAACTTCCAATAATATAAAATATCTTGGGGTAACTCTAACCAAACAAGTAAAAGACTTGTATTATAAAAACTTCAAGCCAGGTGGTGGTGGCGCACGCCTTTAATCCCAGCACTCGGAAGGCAGAGCCAGGCGGATCTCTGTGAGTTCAAGGCCAGCCTGGGCTACCAAGTGAGTTCCAGGAGAGGCGCAAAGCTACACAGAGAAACCCTGTCTCGAAAAACCAAAAAAAAAAAAAAAACTTCAAGGTTTTGAAGAAAGAATTTAAAGAAGATATCAGAAAAATGGAAAGATCTTCCATGCTCATGGATTGGTAGGATTAACATAGTAAAAATGACCATCCTACCAAAAGCAATCTACAGATTCAATGCAATCTCCATCAAAATCCCAGCACTAGTGTTTATAAACCTTGAAAGGACAATTCTCAACTTCATATGAAAAAAAAAAAACAGTATAGCTAAAACCATCCTGAACAATGAAAGAACTGCTGGAGGTATCACCATCCCTGATTTCAAGTTGTACCACAGAGCTATAGTAAGAAAAACCACATGGTATTGACATAAAAACAGAAACATTGTTCAATGGAATGAAACTGAAGACCCAACATAAGTCCAAACATGCATGGATGCCTGATTTTTGCTAAAGAAGCCAGAAATATACACTGGAAAAGCCATTTCAACAAATGATGATGGTCAAACTTGATATCTGCATATTCATGAATACAAATAGATTCATATCTATCACCCTGCACAAAACTCAAGTCCAAGTGGATCAAAGACCTCAACATAAACCCAGACACACTGAACGTGATAGAAGAGAAAGTGGGGAATAGCTTTGAATGCATTGGCACTGGAGATGACTTTCTGAACAGGACACCAATAGTGTAGGCACTAAGATCAACAATTAATAAATGGGACCTTTATGAAACTAAAAAGCTTCTGTAAGGCAAGGGACACTGTCAATTGGACAAAGAGACAGCCTACAGAATGGGCAAAGATTTAACAACTATTACAGGATATATGATCACACTGTGAACCCCTAGTTGGCATTTGTGCTAATTAAATAAAATCAACGTTGGTTCAAGAGGCAGAGCCATAGCACTCTTTGGCATATACCCAAAGGATGTTCCATCCTACCACAAGGACACTTGCTCAAACACATGCATTGCAGCTCTATTCATAATAGCTAGAAATTGGAAACAACCTAGATGTTCCTCAACAGAAGAATGGATAAAAAAAAAATTTAGAACATTTACACAATAGAGTATTACTCAGCTGCTTAAAAAAATGACATCATGAAATTAGCAGGCAAATGAATGGAACTAGAAAAATCATCCTGAGTGAGGTAACCTATACTCAGAAAAACAAATATGGTATGTATTCACTTAAAAGTGTATATTAGCCATTAAGGAAATGATAACCAAGCTACAATCCATAAACCCAGAGAGGTCAGGTAAAGAGGAGAGGTCTAGGAAGGACACAGGGATCTCCCTGGGAGGGGGAAATAGAATACATTTTGTGGGTGAGGACAGGAAAGGGAGTAATCAGGATGTGGAGAGATGGGATAGAGGGAGAAAGTGTGGAGAGTTGGCTGGAATTGAGGGGGGGGGGGCATTTGAGGGTGGTATGGAAACCCAGTATAGTGAAAAATTCCTGGATTCTATGGTGATCCTAATGAGAACTCCTAGGACTGGAGAATATGGAATCTCACCTGGCCATCTCTTGTCGCCAGGCAAGCCTTCCAGTGGTGGGGCTAGGTTGCATTCACCTGAGTTGTTGACCAAGTGGGTCTCATGGAAATCTCCAAACAACCCAGGCTGATGTTGCTCTCTGCAAACTGATAGTGGTGTCCCATTGCCGAGGACAATATACACACAACTCACTGAATGTGGAGAACTAGAGCTGGTGCCTACATGGAGCCTTCATCCGTACATTCTTGTCTCTTTGGTGCTGGACGATACTCTGTAGGCTACTGAAAAAGAAAACTGGACACCAACCCAGCCACAAAACCTTTGACCTACAATCTGTCCTGCCTGTAAAATAAACTAGGGAAGTGGTGTCACAGAATATATGGGAGTAGACACCAATCAATGTCTGATTTGACTGAAGGCCCACTCCATGAGAAGGAACCCATACCTAACACTGCTTGAGTAACTAAGAACCAGAGACTCGATAGTCCAGAGACCTAAGGTGAAACAAAAAACAACTGAATGAAAAAAGCCCAAGTGGATAGATAGATAGATAGATAGATAGATAGATAGATAGATAGATAGATAGATAGATAGATGGATGGATAGATAGATAGATACAAAAATAAATTAATAAAATGATTCCTCACAATATTCTGCTATACTATAGCAGAATACTATACTATTCATAGATCATTGCCTTATCCAGTCATCATCAGAAAGGACTCCAGCAGCAGATGGGAACAGAAGCAAAGATCCACAGTCAGACATTATGTAGAGAGAGAATCTATACTGAAGGTCTCAAATCCCTCCCCTCAGAACTCCAACAATCCCACAGAAGAGGAGGTAGAACTATTGCAAGAGTCAGAGGGGATGGAGGACACCAGGAGAACATGGTCCTCTGAATCAACAAAGCAAGGAGCATATGAGCTAACAGAGTCTGAAGCAGCAAGCACAGGGCTACATGGGTCTGCACCAGGTCCTCCGTGCATATGTTATTGTTATTGGCTTAGTATTTTTGTAGGACTCCTGATTATGAGAAGGAGTGGGTCTCTGACTCTTTTGCCTGCTCTTGGGACTCTCTCTCCTGTTGGGTTGCTGTGTTCAACTTGAATATGAAAATTTTTACTTCATCTTATTATATTTTATTTTGTCATTAAAAAAAAAAGAACCATGTTAAGATATCTCTTAATGAATCTCCAACTTTCCATCACATCAACTCTACCTGAAATACTTTTCTTCGAAGAAGCCACATAGCATAGTTTGGCCTGAATGAAGGTCCCAGGGGGAACAGAGACCTCTTCACACTGCTATTGGAGGGGGATGGAATGGAGCTGTCCCTCTGTCCCTACCACCTGACAATGTCAGGTCTCTCTTGTTGCATACTCCTTCTTGACCACCAGCTTCATCAAGGTCTGGAGCTTTCAGGAGTTGAGGAAGGTAACTACAGTTGCCTGTAGAGGTGTAGGAATACATGAGGAGGGAACAGTACCTTCCATGTTGTCTGAAGTTCTGTTGTTTGAGGTGGGGGAGGTGTAGTGCTTGCTGGAATGAAAACAATGTAAGAACTAACAGTTTTGAGAGCTTTGAGAATCTCTCTGCCATTATCTTTTCACTCTTGAGATATGGAAGAGTTGGACCTATATTTGTCTTTCGGATGACAAGCTTTTCCCCAATCTGAAATGAATTATTCATTAATATCAAATCTAAACTCTCATCTGTGCTCAATTTGAAGTGTGCACTTTGTGGCATCAGCCAAAGCATGAGCATTCTAAAACTTACTTTCATTTTAAATTATGTGTATGTTGTTTGTGGTTTTCTGCGCTTGAGTGTATGCATTCACGGAGACCAGAAATATCAGATCCCCTGAAACAGGAGTTGCAGTTGTGATAATCACAATTCAGGTACTTAGATCCGACTCAGGTTTTCTGTGGGAGAAGTACTTGCTTTTAAATACTGATCCATATCTCCAGCACAAGCACAAAAATTGTAGATGCCTAAAGACTACAGATTTGATGTGTATTTTTATCACTATAAAGAACATCCTTTTGCAATTTCCATGCTATATAAATAAATTGGAAGATCCTTGAAGCAAGGCATTAGAAAGCATCAGTTCCCCCCTAAAAGGGAGACGTAGGAAGTCTTCTTCAGTGAGGATTTGAATACAGGGCAAATCCTCCAAATATAAATCTGTGCCAGTAGCAGGAGGCCTGGTTCTGGAGTTTTTTGTTTTTTTTTTTTTTTTTTTTTGGTTTTTCGAGACAGGGTTTCTCTGTGTAGCTTTGCGCCTTTCCTGGTACTCGCTTTGGAGACCAGGCTGGCCTCGAACTCACAGAGATCCGCCTGCCTCTGCCTCCCGAGTGCTGGGATTAAAGGCGTGCGCCACCACCGCCCGGCTGGAGTTTTTATTAAAGGAACCAGCTTCCAATTCAAGTGAATATAGATGGACCCTGAGCCACTTTTAGTCTTCATAACTTCCACCATGAACTTTATTATTATTATTATTATTATTATTATTATTATTATTATTATTATTATTGGTTTATTTGAGACAGGGTTTCTCTGTGTAGCTTTGGCGCCTTTCCTAGAACTCACTCTGTAGCCCAGGCTGGCCATTAACTCACAGAGATCCGCCTACCTCTGCCTCCTGAGTGCTGGGATTAAAGGCGTGCGCCACCACTGCCCGGCCACAATGAACTTCATAACTTTCACCATGAACTTTCATGACAGTTCCCGTCACCATAAAATAGGGATGAGTCACGGCTGTACCAGACATAGTTGTCCTGAGAATTAAATCTTGTATTGTAAAGCACGTAGCATACTGCTTGGTGCTTAGGAAACACTAAACGTTAGCTTCAGTGACCTATGGCCTCAGCTGCATGGCACAGTTTCAGAATTGATGTAATGGGCCCAGAGTCTCCTTCCCCTAATCCTAGCTTTCAATCATTCCCTGTTTCTTCACAAGAAAGTCATATCCATTCTCATCATCCTCATCAGCTATCCTAGATCAATGATCTACCTAAGTCTGGCTAGTAGTGAATCCCCTGGGGATCTGATATAGAGAGGAGGTGTCCTCCGTGTTCAAGCTCTTATACAGCAGAGGGTGCACATAAAAAGTCTGGAGAATCAGACTTTGTGAAGTCATTGTTTGGAACCCAGCTAAGGACCCTTCACCTAGATTGTACTTAGGACTGCCTTGCTGTTCTCTGTGTCCTACAGCACCCCATGAGAAGACCTCTGATTGCTGAAACACATGGTTTTACCTGGCTTGGGTGTCATTGTTACTGCTGGTGGTAGAGGAGTAAAGGTAGAGATTCTGGTTGATTTTGGAGCACCTGTGGGTCTTGTTGGAGTACTTGTGTATCTTATGGGAGCTGTGGGTCGTGTTGGAGTAGTTGTGGGGTTTGTGGTAGCCGTGGGTCTCATTGGAGTAGTTGTGGATGCTATGATTGTTGTGAGTCTCCTTGGAGGACTTGTTAGAATTCCTGGATTTAGAAATCAAGAAGAAAAGAAGGATTAGTCAAGCAAGAAGAGACAAGAGTTTTTTCTGTAGCGCAAGTGAGAGGCTGGCCCCAGGCAGAGGCTCTTCTCCTGGACTTTTGTTCTTTGTCATTGACCAACTAGGCCTGGGCAGGACAGGACAGTGGAGACAGCTCACCAATAGGAGGCAGCTGCACTTATCACATGGAGCTGAGCACAGAGCCCATGTTCCTAAGGACACAGTGTATAAATGACAGGTGTCAGGTCCTCAGATGTCTCTAAGCATTGCTGTGAGACTGTGAGGTTATGAGGGGCTGACACTGCTCTCAGTGGTGACTAACTTCACTCACAGTTTCCATACACCGCCTGCTCATTTTACTCAGTGCTGAGAGGGCATGCCATACAGCCCTGAGTCTTAGCTGAGGGATAACTAGGCCCATTATCCTATGAGAGACCCCACTGAAGACCAAACAAAAGGATTTACACATTTGGATAAAGAGTAGACACAATTGTGTATGATTTCTTCCAATCTAAGAGATACAGGGTAAATATCCCCTATTGAAAACTGCTTGATACCAGGACTTTCAGGGTTTGGGTATTTCTGAAAATTTCTGCATGCTTGCATATAGCTAATATCTTATGCATGAGGCTTAAGTCTAAATATGAATTGATGTAGCATTCATATGCATACACTTTACATACATGGCTTAAAAAGAAGCTTATAAGCTCTTGATAATTCTGTGCATGAAAATTTCATGTTGATGAATTTACAGGTCAATTATCAAGTCGGTGCCTAGAGCACAGCAGACTTGAGACTTTTTTTAATTAGGCAGATCAACCTGTAACTCACAAATCAGCAGCATCGGAAGTGATGTACTGTAAACAATGACCTAAAAAGGAATTTTTAAGCTTGACAAAAACCTACTATTAATAGTTTCAAACAGCTGGCCATTGTAACATGTGTTGTTTTTGTTTTTCTTTTGTTTTTACTGTTGTTGTTGTTGGTGGTGTATGTGTGGGTTTTTGAGATAGGGTTTCCCTGGTTGTCCTGGAACTCACCTCACAGACCAGGTTGACTTTGAATTCACTGAGATCTACCTAACCCTGTCCCTGATTATTGGGACTGAAGCCATGTGCCACCACACCTGGTTTTTGTTGTTGTTGTTGTTGTTTTGATTTTTGTTTTTTGTGGGCCTAGGTCTTTAATCCCATCACTCAGAGGGCAGAGGGAAGCTTATCTCTATGAGTTTGAGGCCAACCTGATTTATACAGTGATATTCAGGCCCATCATACATAATATACAGAGTTCCTGACTCAACCATAAATACATATATAAGCAAATAAATAACAAAGTGCAAAGATGGTTCAATTACAATATAATGTTCTGAATTTAAAAGGAACAGTCAGGTTAGTATTGGGTTCTATTGTCAGTGTAAGCCCTTAGTCGAGGAGACTAGGGAATATCACCAGAAGAAGGTACATCCTCATAATTCAACTCCTTTTATGAAAAGGATGTTCATATCACAAAAGAAACTCTAATGATTTAAGAACTGGGGCCTTCATGAGTTTCTTACTAGTAACCACTGAACAGGTAGCTCTGGCTGGCCTAGAACTCACTATTTAGACTAGCCTAGCCTAGAACTCATAGAGATCCACCTGCCTTTGCCTTCTGCCTGCTGGGATTGAAGACATCACCCTGTATGACCTGTTGGTTTGTTTTTTAGACAGGGTCTTGTTCCGTAACCCAGGCTGGCTTGTACTTACTATCCTCCTACCTTAGACTACTGAGAGATGGGATTACAAGCTTGTTCCACTGAGACCAGCTCTAATTTTTAATTAAAAAAATTTTTAAAACTGTTGTCCTGGAACCTGTGGGTCTTGAAGGGTACTTGCAAACCCAGAACTTCGGTGGTAGAGACAGGAAAGCCAGGAGTTCAAGGCCAGGCTTGGCCTACTAGTTAGTTCAAGACCAACCTATGTCACTTGAGATTTAATCTCAAACCACCCATCCTTCTCTCTCTCAAAGCTATTGACAATGAAATTGTTAACTCTTTACCCACCTCTCCTATACAAAGAGCAGAGCCAAGGTTTTGTTTACAGTGTTGTTGGGTTAAAGACAGAACTTTAGTAACTTCAATATCAATTTTTAGAAAGGGTTTTAGAACATCATTAGGAGGGGCTGAAGCTTTAGAATCAGTCTGTTAAAAAATATCTAAGCAGGGATCCCTTCTTATATGTTGGCAACATTCTAGAAACTACACAACACTCAGTTATACAGTGAGATCACGAAATCAGAATATTAGATCAAGAACTAAATCATGTGACTTTGAAAACTAAAATAACAATTTTAATATGTGTCTGATGAAGTGGAGGAATAAAATCTTTATTACCAATTGCTTCTAAGTTTGCCTTTAAAGGAACTTTGAGGGTCGAGAATTTATACAAATGATACAGTGCTTACCTAGCCTGTGCCAACCCCTGTGTTAGATCCCCAGCCCAGGAATAAACACACAAACAAAGAACACAAACAATGAGCTGTCAGATTCACTAACTAGTTACTGATATGCAGGTCTAGGCTACAAGTTTGGGATGTGCTCAGTAAAAGCACATTCCTTGTTGCATAAAATGAGTGTATGCTTTGTACTGAGACATACATTACTTGATTTTGCCTAATACCTTTTCCGTATCACAAATGAAATACATGCTATTTCAATAAAGTAATAGAAGCATATGATAATAATGAGCTTCCTTCCACAATCCCACCTCCCAGAGATTAGATTTTAAATGTGTTCCATTTGTGAATGCTCGTGCCTATAATCCCAGCTCTTGGGAGGTAGAGGCAGGAAGAGCAGACATGAGAGATCATCCTCAACTATATATGGAGTCTGGAGCCAATCCAGGCTACTTTAAACCCTGTCACACACACAAAAAAATGTAATTTATTATTGTCACCTGTATCTTAAAATGTTTTCAATTAAATAATTAAAACCATTTTTAAAGGTACAAAGACGTCAAATGAAGACTAAAGTGTCCATTTGGCATCTTCTCCTTATCCCTCAAATGGAAAACACTACTACTTCCTATGAATCTTTGAGGATCACATACAAGCACATGCACGCTCCTCTTACTTGCCCATCACATACATATCACCCCTTATCTGACATACTTTCATGGATCGTGTCTATTTAGCCATCACTTTGGAAATCTATACAGGTTCCGTAAGTTCTTTGTAGCTACAGTGGCATCCTGGTTCTTTGCTCAACATAATCAATAAACTCCACAGGATGTCTTGCTTCCTCTGACAGCTCCAGCCTCTGCAGCATTCCCAGCACCCCTACTCACTTACCGGTGAGACGTAGAATGACACCTGAAATGATGGCTTGAAGACGCATCATGGTGTTGATCTGAAGGAAAATGAGAAGACACCCTGGTTGGCTGTGGCACTCAGCACATGGTATGTGGTCAGGTCTTAATTCTCAGAGGGCAACTTCCCATTTCCTGATGATTTGAAGCATGTGACCTGCTCTGATGGGACTGTGAGAAAACCATTTTCAAATCCTTCATCCAGGACTCTGTTGGCCCCTGGTAGTGTAGAGCTCTGTGCCTTCCCAAGTACATAAAAACCTGTCCTCAATACAGCCTCTTCTTTACCAGCCCCTCCCCACATATAGCCATCAATGTCATCTTGGTCTCAGCACAAATAAGGCAGCAAAGAGAGAGGAAGAGAGAGAAAGGCAGAGGTAAGAGCATGGAACCTTCTAATGACAAGATGCACTTGCCCCCTGGTGGACAAGGCTGCTACTGCTCAGTAGCCACAGTGGTTGGTCCCTAAGCCTCAACCAACTTCATCATTAGCAAGACGGACTGAGCAAGGATGTGAAGCACTGTGGCTAAGCACTCATGCTGCCACTCACAGTGACTGAGACCACATCTTCCTGAGCAATGTCTAGAGACACAAAGGAGCGTCTTTGAGGAGATGTGGGAGCCACATTTATCTGGGTCCACACCGTACAGGCCTAGCTTCCAACATGGGCAAGTCTACCTGCCTAATACTTGAAGAACTCCATTTCTGGTCTAAAGATTCAGAGACTGTCTCAGAGAGGTGAGGGTCTGCCATCTCCAGCCTTCTTGAAACCAGTAAGAGCCATCATGAAGCCACTATGAGCTCGGCATCCTAAGGGCTTGGGCCTCTTACTGTTCACACTAATGGTCTCTGTACTTGGAAGAGATCAGGAAACTAATGTTGCAAACTAATGACCAAATACTGAGACTTTTGTATGAAAAAGTTTAAAAATGCATCTTCTTATTGAAAGACAACTTGAAAAAATATACAACCCATATGAAACTCAGCATTCTGACTTTTTGCCAAGTAAAACAAGTTAGCAACACGTAGCACTAACCATTCTGTCCATTTAGAGTTCTACTGAAGAAGAGTCCCTTTCACAGGCATTCACTGCCTCACGTAGTCTGCTACCCTTCTTGACACAAACTGTCACTCAGCCATCTCACAGGGTGTCCTATGGCCTACTTTCTCATAAAATGAAGGGAACAGACAGAGATGGTTAATAGCTTTCCAGATTCCCAAAGGTAACTTTCCACATTCTAGAATTCAGCTGAGTAACCATGTGAGGTCTACCATGGAGTAAGCACCTTGCTGGTGGCTTGAAATCCTTTTAAATCTTTATATGCTTGAGAAGAACACTTGAGTCCATCTCAACTACCAAAGTTTCAGCTGTAGTTCCCTGTAGAATCCACACTGTGAAGATTCCACAGGGAGACTGTGGAGGGATGGAAAGTTGAAGTTCAAGAGCCACAAATAGTATAAACTCTCTCTGGTCCCCTCAGGAGTCATTTGCTACCAACCTCTGCATCTCAGCTAACATCCTTGTGACAATCAGGAACAACTTATGGGATGTATTGTTACATTTTCACACAGCTAGTTTCCATCAAGCCTAAAGCCAAGAATTTTAGAACATCTGAAATCTATAAAGAAGATTTCTGTGTTCTGCTGTGTCCCATCTGCCTGATGTTCCCACCAGCATCATTGATAAATGCCTTGATTTAGCTATCCTTTTATTGATAAATGTTCATGTAACCTCTTCCACGGTGGAACATAATATTCAGAATAAACTAACCCAAATTCTGCTCCTGTGTCTTTCTTGTTCAAATTTGGCACAAGATATTCTTTATTCCCATGAAATAAGAACTTCATTTTCCTACTATATGTATTTATTTGAGGGAAGGAGCGGGACATAAATGTGCCACTATACATATACCAAGGTCACAGGACCACTACCAAGAGTTCATCCTCTCTTTCCAAAATATAGGTCCCAGAGACTGAACTCAGTTCCTCTGGCTGGGTGACAAGCACCTTTAGCTGCTGAGCCACCTCACAGACCCAGGAGCTGTGATTTTCACTGACAAAAGGAAGGAGAACAGATGTGAAAGTGGTTCACACACAATTAAATCAGGCCTTATTCGTTTTGAACACAAAAGGTTCATGTTATTTATATCTGAAGACTGAGCCAAATCCCATATAGATCAATGGTAAGGGATGTTTGGGAAGTTTTTCACTTCTGTTCCACAGTTATCACAGATAGATTGTGGCTTAGGGAATATGAGTAAATACTACTCTCATTAAACATCAATATTGGGGTTGCAGGAAAGGCTCTCTGGTTAAGAATGCCTGCTGATCTTGCAGAGGATCTGAAAGGGTTTCCCAGCACCCATGTGGGGAGGCTCACAACCACTATCACTGGAGATGCAGATGATCCAACCATTCCTTGGACACCTGTGCTCACACACACATAACCACAAACAGATACACACAGATATACACAATTACAACAATAAAAATAAATCTTTAGCCGGGCGGTGGTGGCGCACGCCTTTAATCCCAGCACTCGGGAGGCAGAGCCAGGCGGATCTCTGTGAGTTCGAGGCCAGCCTGGGCTACCAAGTGAGTTCCAGGAAAGGCGCAAAGCTACACAGAGAAACCCTGTCTCGAAAAACCAAAATAAATAAATAAATAAATAAATAAATAAATAAATAAATAAATAAATAAATCTTTAAAATGACAATATGCTTATAATAATTTTGAGCTCATAAAGATATGTGAAAATTACAAGGTATCCATGTTTACTACATAAAATACTAATATAATACTAACCCGTTTGCTCATTCTACATATTTATTACCTATTTACTATGTCCTATGAATTTGATATATATCAATGAATCAAAGTCGCCTGGTCTCTTGTAGCTTGTATCTGTGCAGAAAATAAATATATGTTTTTAAAAACATAACCAAAAATAGAATTCATCAGAGCACACTACAAGGTGATGAAAGCTGTAATTATGAAAAAAAATCAAAGGGGCAGCAACGCAGAGGAGCAAGAGGGAGGCCAGGCATCGGACTCAGGAGCAACTTCATGAGGACTCCTTTTCCCAAGGAGTCTTTCCCTGATTGTGGCAGATTGAGTCACTGCTGGGATGGGGGTTACAGGACCTGGTGGCCTCTGAGACTGCTGTGACTGCTGGACTAACAAGCAAGGACACTTTAGTGTCTGTTGAAAGAATTCAGTGTGGAAGAGACAACAGAAGGGAGTGTTCATTAACCCCAGACACTCAGATCTGTAGATTCAGAAGGCGGAGCAAACTGGACTTATTGTATGTTAACAGTCTAAAGAGGACAAGTTATTCAGACCTAAGCTGTGCCTGAAAGGAGGGAGGGGAATATCAGCTGAGAAGGGAAGTGCTGCTCCCTCCCCGGGGGTTTGGAGGAGATAGTCTGGGTTTGAGTCATGTTGGTGTGAGATATCCTTAGAACCCAATTGGAGGCCATGGCATTATGAAGGGATGCTGAGAGGGCTAAGAAATGGTATTTGAAAGCAGAGAGCCTGAGTTAGGCACTCAGGGGAATGCCAGTGCTGAGGATTTTCTATGCTCACGGAAGGCCATGAAGTCTTCCAGTGATAGTCTTCCAGGAAGAGGATGAGGGTGTTGCATAGACCAGGGCTAAGTTTGCCCCAGAGGACCCAGAGACATCAGTGAAGATGAGTGTAAGGAAAAAGAAAACAAAGCAATAACTGGAAACCCTGAAGGCTATCAAGGTGCTGTGAACTGGAGCTCTCTAGGCAGCAGGTTGCTAAGCAGAATCATGGGTTCAAGATCCTGCAGGCTGTTTGACCTTGGCTAATAGAAGAACATCCTGATAGTGGAGAAGATAAAATGAGGAAGGTCAAAGCCAAAATTATCTTGAGATATCTTAGACCTTTAATAGCCATTTACTATCAAGCGCATCATCAGACCTTCTTTCAACTTTTACATAAAACTCTTGTAATGCAGCCTCAGTTGGACACAGCCAGCTGTGCTTCTCCTAAGGCTAGGAATGCCATAAAGGTACCATCTTACTCCTAGAGATCCCTTTGCCTTGCTCTAGCCCCCACCTCATAACCCATCTAAGTGGGGGTATTACCATTAATTAATTTTTGCTGAGGGACCTTTCTCGAGCCCAGGTAGACCTAGAACTCATTTATCTCATATTGGTCTCCAACTCTTGGCTACCATTCTGCAGCAAAGTGATGACTTCCAGACCTGCAGACATGAACCACTACTACCCTTATGCCCATTCCTGACACAGGTTTTTGTAAAGGCATGGATCTTGAAATGGTTTTGGGAGACTATAAAGGTTTATAGTGGCTCCTGGACATAAGTCCCAAACTACAAGATGAAAAGAAGGAGCTGGGGGAGGGGCTGGAGTGCTGACTCAGGACCAGTGAAGCCCTGGGATCCATCTCTGGGACCAAAAAGAAAGAAAAAAATTAATGTAACCTTTTCCCAAGTGGAACTAATCATTTAGGGCAAGTGGAGTCTACGTGTCTAGGTCATAGTATTCATACTGCCTGAGAATGAAGTACATTTTATTATTTTAAAGTAGAGTCCACAGTTTTCTATAACCAGATTTGGGTAACAAGAGCCAAATGGAGGGGTGCAGGCTGGGTAGCATGATCTAGATGCCAGATGCTGAGACCCACAGTCAAACATTAGGCCAAGCTCGGAGAATCTTGCAGAAGAGGGGGAGGAAGGATTGAAGGAGCCAGAGAGGTCAAGGACATCACAAGAAACCCACAGAATCAACTAACCTGGGCTCATAGGGGCTCATAGAAACTGAACCAACATCCAGGGAGCCTGCATGGGACCAACCTAGGCCATCTGCATATATGTGACAGTTGTGTAGCTTGGTCTACTTGTGGGACTTCTAACAAAGGGAACAGAGGCTGTCCCTAAGCTTTGGCTGGCTCTTGGGAACCTAGTCCTCATACTGGGTCGCCTTGCCCAGCCTAAATAAAAGGGGAGGAGCTTAGTCTTACCGCAACTTGATAGATATACCATGC